GTTATGCACAAACAATGAATCATGGAACACTTCATCTAAAACTAATGATGTAATGCATGGGGATTAACATAAGAATAAAAAAAATAGCTATAGAATATACACAAAAGGAAATGAGAAAGGAATTTAAACATTTCATTACAAAAAGTCAACTAAAGGGCACCAGGGTGGCTCAGTCGGTTAAACATTTGCCTTCAGCTCAGGTCATGATCCCAGGGTCCTGGGATTGAGCCCCAAGTTGGGCTCCCTGCTCAGCAGGGAGTCTCCTTCTCCCTCTGCCCCTTCCCTCTCTCATGCTCTCTCTCAAATAAATAAATAAAATCTTTAAAAGTAAGTGATCTAAAACACAGGAGAAGACAGTAATGTATGAAATGAGAAACAAAAAATCTGTAATGCATATAGAAAGCAAATATCAAAATGATAAGAAGTCTCTCCCTATCAATAATTACATTAAATATAAACAGATTAAACTCTCAAATTAAAAAAACAGAGACTGGCAGAACCCATAAATCACATCATCCAACCATATGCATCTATGAGACTTACTTTAGATCCAAAGACACAAACAGATTAAAAGTGAAAGAAATGAAAAAGATATTCCATGCAAACACTAACCAAAAGAGGCCAGGGGTGGCTATATTAATGTCAAACAAAATAGACTTTAAACCAGAAAAGATTACAAAAGACAAGAACATTATATTTTAATAAAACGTGTAATACAGCAAGAAGCTATAACAATTGTAAACATGTACTTAATGACAGACCACCAAAATACATGAAGCAAAAAGCAGCACAATGAAGGAAGAGAGAGACAATCCTATGGTAATAGATGAAAACTCCAATACCCCATTCTCAATAACGGATAGCACAACCAGACAAAATATAAGTAAGGAAACAGAGGACTTAACATAATAAACCAACTTGACATTAACAGACGTATACAGAATATTCTACCCAACAATAGCATATACATTCTTCTCAAGTGTACATGGAACATTTTCCAGGATAGATCATGTTAGGCCACAAATTAAGTTTCAATGTATTTAAAAAGATACCATATAAAGTATTACTCACTTCTAGTGATAATGAAAACTTAAGCTATTAAAACTTACAAGATGCAATGAAAGCAGCATTAACAGGGAAATTTATAGCTATAAATGCTTATATTAAATAACAAGAGATCTCAAATCAACAAACTAATGACAACTTAAGGACGTAGGAAAAGAACACACTAAAACCATAGTGAGGGGAAGGAGGGAAATAGTAAAGATTAAAAAGAAATGATATAGAGAATAGGAAAATAGAAAAAAAATGAATGAAACAAAAAGTTGGTTCTTTGAAAAGATTAACAAAATTGGCAAACCTTTAGCTAGATGAACTAAGGAAAAAGGAGACTCAAATGACTAAATCAAAAATGGAAGTGGGGACATTACTACCAATTCTGCAGAAATAAAAATAAGATTATAAGAGAGTACTACAAACAACTGTACACCAACAAATTGGGTAACCTAGATAAAATGGACAACTTCCTAGAGACACAAAAGCCATGAAGACTAAATCAGGAAGAAATATAAAATCTGAATAGATCTCTACCTAGTAAGGAGACTGAATTAGTAGTAAAAATATCTCCCAAAAAAGAAAAACCTTGGCCCTGATAGCTACACTTATGAATTCTACCAAAGGTTTTAAAAGAAGAATACCAACCCTCAAACTCTTCCAAAATACTGAAGAGGAGGAAACACTCCTTAAATCATTAAGGCCATTACTACCCTGATAACAAAGCCAAAGACACTACAAAAAACTAGACTAATGTACCTTATGAACATTGATGTAAAAAATCCTCAACAAAATATCAGCAAATTCTGCAGCATATTAAAAGGATCATACACCATGACCAAGTGAGGTTTACTGCTGTAATGCAAGGGTGGTTTGACATACGAAAACTGATAAATGTAATACACCACATTACTAGAATGAAGGGAAAGGCCCACACAATTATCTCAATTGACACTGAAAAAGCCTTTGAAAACTCAACACCCTTTCATGATAAAAACACTCAATGAACTAGGAATAGAAGGAAACTTTCTCAATACAAAAAAAGCCGCATATGGAAAACTCAGCAAACATGATATTCAATGGTAAAAGACTGAAAGCTTTTCCTCTAAGATTGAGAACAAGGCAAGAACGTATGCTATCACCGCTTCTATTCAACATAACACTGGAAATTCTAGGCAGAATAATTAGGCAAGAAAGAGAAATAAAAGGCACTGAAATTGGAAAGGAAAACGTAAAATTATCTTTGCAGATAATATCATCTTATATGTAGAAAAATATAAAGATGCCATACAAAGTAACTGTTAGAATAATTGAGTTCAACAAAATAGCAGGATACGGGGCGCCTGGCTGGCTAATGTCTGCCTTCGGCTCAGGTCATGGTCCCAGGGTCCTGGGATCGAGTCCTGCATCGGGCTCCCTGCTCAGCTGGAAGCCTGCTTCTCCCTCTCCCACTCTCCCTGCTTGTGTTCCCTCTCTCGCTGTCTCTCTCTCTCTGTCAAATAAATAAATAAAAAATCTTAAAAAAACAATCTGAAAATGAAATTACAAAAACAGGTCCATTCATAACAGCATCAAAAAGAATGAAGTACTTAGGAGTTAAACCTAAACAACAAGGTAAAAGATGAAGACAACGAAAACTATAAAACATTGCTAAAAGAAATTAAAGATGTAAATAAATGGAAACACATACCATGGTCATGGATTAGAACTCTTAATATTGTTAAGATACTGATACTACCTAAAGTGTTCTACAGATTCAGTGCACTCCCTATCAAAATCCCAAAGACATTTTTTGGAGAAATATAAAAAACCATGGTAACATCCATATGGTATCAGAACGGACCCTGAATAACCAAAACATCTTACTTACTACAAAACTACAGTAATCAAAAAACAAAACAAAACTACAGAAATCAAAATAGTGTGGCACTGGCATAAAGACAAGACATATAGACCAAGGTAATATAATCGAGAACCCAGCAATGACCTCTAACATATATCATCAAATCATTTTTGACAAGGGTGCTGAGACCATTCAACGGAGAAAAAGACAGTGTTTACAACAAATGGTGCTGGGAAAACTAGGTATTTACATGACAAAGAATAAAACTGAACCCTTATCTATCTAACATCATATGGAAAAATGAACTCAAATAGGATCAAAGACTCAAATTTAAGACCTAAAATACAAGATTCTTAGAAAACACAGAGCGGAGCGCCTGGGTGGCTCAGACGTTAAGCATCTGCCTTCGGCTCAGGTCATGATCCCAGGGTCCTGGGATCGAG